TTTTTAGCCACGTATAATTATTTTTCTATTAATACAACAATGATAAAAAATCATAACAATACATATACAAATAAAAAGACAAAATCACTTTGAAAAGTGGCATATTTTTAGAGGTTGGAAGCATGGATGTAAGGTCTGTGACGAATGCAATCATCATTCACATCTGTATTGCAAAACATGCAAAAAGGTGGCGGATGGAATATATAAGCAATGCGAATGTGAAAATTCTCGAATAATAAATAAATCAATTAACGGTTTGATATAATAGCGGAGCTAGTGCCATAAAAGCACATAAAATTTTTATTATATCAAACAGTTAACTCTGATTTATTTTTGATTATTCTAGAAACTCTATTATTTTTCAGCCACAGGATGGCATTTCATCATATTTGCTACTGATGGCCTATATTGTACTAGTAAAAACGAATAGCGGATTAATTTAACCAAAGAGGATCTTGAATCAATACGAAAAGGAATAAAAAAGGTTATTGGATTGTTAAGAGACAAAATAACAGTATCTGATGGACCCGAAAGCAAAAGATGTCGTGTACAAGAAAAAATAAAACAGCAGATAGATTCTTATTCCGTATTTTTATTATTACATCATGTAATGAGCATTTATATGCCTTATATATTTATTTGTATCAATAAATATGCATTTATTCCGATATATTATACAGATAAATATATAAAAATGCTCAAAGGAATGTGATATCAATGCTACAGTATTATGTTTAAGTTCTGATTTTTTTTGGCGACGGGTCGTCGCTGAAATTTTGGTCGGGATGATTCACAAATTCGAACTTTCTTAAGCTACGGATCCAAGGCTATGTGAGAAAAAGGGATGGGCGCTCTCCTATAAAAATTCATAACGTATTATCTAAAGAATTTGGGTTTGTTTGCTGGTTCTGTTAGGTGCAATTGAAGGAATAATTTCAATAAAAATAGAAATAATAATAATATCATACCCTGATTAATTGTAGAGCCATAGAATATGCCTTTCGATATCCGGCTGTCTTAGTATCTACATTCACTCATATCAGGCTTGAATAAAGTATATGCATTTTGCTGTTTGCATGTGATAAAGAGTAGAAAAATAAAGTAAATTTCCTTGTTGGTCTTTTAGTCAATTGTATAAAAAATGATATTATCTTTAATAAAATAAATCCAAAAGCGACGATAATAGCTTGATTTGATAAAAAAGACCAAGCGGTAAGTGATCGAGCACACGATACACACTCTTGACAACCGATCATGAACCACAACTCTTGAACGAGCTTATGGGATAACCGTAGTTCTTCAGAATGATCGGTTAGCGCATCGTCTTCCATTACGCAAGTCACGACAGGTGCCCCTGTAGGAATAACCGTAGTTTTTGACCAACCCTGCCTGTGGCCTAACATATGGGGTCAAGTAATCCTTTCGCTGGAATATTCAATAACAAAATGAGTATTAGCACAAGTTAAGGATTAGTATAATTAGAGCTCTGCTTTAAGATACTTACAAGGCATCAAAAGGAAAACTTGCATTCTGGGTACGTGCTCACAGTATAACTCTTGACAACCAAGTGTGAGCCACAACTCGAGAGCTTATGGGATAACCGTAGTTCCTCAGAACACTCAGTAGTCATACTGTCTTCCGTGAGAGAATCTGGTCACAAACGTACCTTCTGATGAAGAATAACCGTAGTTTTTGCCCGTCTTATGCCAGACTACATCTTACAGGACACGTTCTATTTTACAGGGATAAAAGAAAAAAATTTAGCACAGAAACAAAGTTATCTTATACTATACTAGGTGCAAGCAGGCAAAATAAGTATCAAATGTGTGACAGAAAAAACACGTATAAATTATTACCAAACTAAACGTGACATGTACACAGTGATCTTTTTTATTTGACAAGAAAACATGGGTGCTCAGCAGGGTTGTGCATAAAAAAACGCGAAACACCCCTGATGAACAAAAAATTTTTCTCTTAATGTCAGACTCAAGGGCAATCTCGATTTCCCAGTACATTGATTTTTTTATTAAGAGCGAAAGACCTACACCGATCACATTTTTTGAAAAGTTCGACTTCTCCTCGAAGAAGGAAGGTGTCTCAAATTGGTACTCCGCTCTCAGTGAGAGCCTCAAAATTTATAAAAAGGATCCCAAACTTACTGAAATTAAGCAAAATTACGAAAAAGGTTATTATAAGCAAAGCATCAATGATTATTTTCGACAATCGGAACGTGCTCGTACTCTTGAGGAAGAAAAGGTTTGTTAGACTTGTTTGCTTATGGTGGCTGGTCTATTAAGTTTATTAAGTTTATTAAATCCAAGCCATTCTTCCAGACCTCTATTGATAAGACCTTAACCAATAAAACTGGCAATGCGATTCGAAAACGTATACATGATCTCCTTCCAGAAGAAACTGGTGATCAAAAATTCTCGAAGAAACCTTGTCTAAGGGAGTCGAATCAGAAAATAAATCAAGAAAATAATGATTTTTGCCTGGCTTCATCCGATCCTGATTTGGAATATTTCAACGCTCAGGAGTTATTAGATAAAAAAGGTATTGATTTATCAAATGCAGGCAAAGCCAGGCCATTATGTACTAACCATAATTTGTTTAGAACGACACAAATTGTGCTATTCGTGGGAGAACGTCATTAATCAGATTGATTTTAGGGCTGTCTCTAAAGACGATGTAAATATATACCAATATGTTCATTACATTCCATTTGCTAGAAATAACCATGCGTGAATATTACTTTTCAGTGGGTCTATGAGAGTTATAATTTCTCTTCAGAATTCCGAAATTTTCAGAAGTCGACAATTGAACAAGTCAAAAAAAAATCTGATCTTATGCTATAAAAAAGATATCGAAAAAATTCTGTAAGTATTTTTGCAAACCGAATCAGAGTTTTTTTATGATTATGATTCATTATTCTTACGTTAAAATAGATCTCTTTCAAACATAATGCTCATCGAGAATATAAGGCCATCATTTCTTAACTTCTCACAAACTATTTGGGATCAAATCTGTTAAAGGGAATCACCTTCAAGTTTACCATCAGTAGCAAATAACTTGGCTCTTGAATATTCTTCTGTGAGTTTACTTTCCCCACTCTCGGACTTGGAGTTAAAGTTATGGTATTAAACATTTTTCACTTTTAACTCTAGATGATAAATTCTTTTACACTATTAAATGATATTCAAGATGCATGGTGTAATAACTTTTCCAAGATTACGGGATTGACGGATCGAGATAAAGACAAATTTTGTCAAACTCAAATTATTTTCCGAAATTTGTAAGTATACCTATTGTAAATCATAATTAATGTAACACTTAATGAAATAACAACTTTCTCTTATAGCTTATTTCTAAGTTCAAAAATTGTGAATACCAATAATGAGGACACCTTTGTACATGAAACGTTGCATGACCTACTTAAAGAGATTTTCCGTGATTCAACTTTCGAGTTAATTTGGTAAGAATTTGTATTTGTGATTTTGCCGATTTAAATCTTATAATTAATGCATAAGTTAAAAAAGGGCGAACAGCGAAAGTCTTGTTTCCAAAAATCGACGCTCCAACAGTTCGGACAAGGAAAATTACAGGTGAAAAGCCTGACTTTAAAGTTGTAACCAATACAAAAGAAGAAATTCTTTTTGGCGAGGTTAAGACAAAAGATTCGCGTTCTTTATTGATTAATAAAGATCTCATAAAATTGTCCAATTTCCAATCGGGTGCCTTAGACGAGTTAATTAAAAAATATGGCAACAAGATTGGTTTAGCTTCATTTGGTATATGGGTCAGTGGTAAGTTGTTAAATTGATAATGCATATACTAATATATGATGGCATTTGTTAATACATACTTGATTAAATTTATAGGTCCACGTATTCGGATCTACGAAATGGATCTAAACTACGATGGGATGTATAGAATGTTTTTGATGGCGAATGTTGTGACCTCAATGGAACGGGCACAATTTTTAAGTCTGATACCAGTATTAGAAGCATTGTATAATATTAAAGTAAGCGATAGGTAGTAGTTTTTGGTTATTAGTTTTAGCCATCAAACCATTTAACACTTTATAATTTTTGAAGGATCGTATTTCTGAAGTATTAGAGGTAATCGTTTCCGACACCCCAGCTAGTTCACCACGTTCTACTTACGTCAGAATGCCCACCCTCCACCAAAATTAGTAAAGATTGCTATTGTTGGTCTATCGTCAAATTAACTTTCATCCTATTTACACATGGTGATAAGAAAAGTTATATGTAGATGATTTATCAATATGTATATCGAGTTTTGCCTGAAATGGAATTGAGTGTATAATAAAGCATGTTTCAAAATTTGATGAGATCGGATACTTGTATGAGATCAAAACTGTTTAAATGATCTGATTCGAGGCAAAGTATAAATTTTATGTCGTGATATTTACTAAAGATTAATATGCAAAATTCTCACGTCATAATAAAATCGATGCCAATATTTTTATTCGTAATTTTGAAATTTTTGACGACGGCCCGTCGTTGAAATTTTCATTGCTTTGGTTATACATTTTAAATAAATAATAAGATATATACAATCTATTACTAAAACATGCAATCTGAGATTGATTCATTAAGACAACGAATTTCTGAGCTTGAAGCCAAAAAGGCTGAGCTCGAAGCTAAGAATGCCGAGCTTTTAAAACAGGTTATGGAAGAGAATGCCAGGCGAGAAGCTGAGAATGTTGAGCTCAAAGCCAGAATCGCCAAATTGGAACAGACCGCAGAAGAAAATACTGAGCTCAAAGATAGAATCACGAAATTGGAACGGAAACAGATGCAGGTTATTACTAATTATCAGGAGCCATCTCCTACAAAAGATATTTCACCACTTATCAAGAGCCATTCTGATGAGGAGAAAGGTATCACTCCCAATCCCTTGCCTGAAATAGAACATATCTCAACCCAGGCCCAAAGGGGCGAATCTTTAGATTCATCTGAATCTTCAACGGAGCCTGAAACATCTACAACCTCTTTACCACAAGATATTATCAATGACGATTCAGCCAAGATCCTAGATTTTGTAGAAACGATACATAAGGAAAGGATTAGTAGTGAGATAAGAGAGAGGAACCGGGAAAAAAAACTTCAAGAATCACATAATAACTCAACTCCACCAATACAATCCGAAGTATCAACCCTGTCGACACCTGAATCTCTGGACCCGAAAACTGTGAAAAAGCTTTGGGATCGGGATCAAAATAAAAGCCAAGACAAAACATCCCAATCACACAAGAAAAATGGAACAGAGAATATCGCTCAGGTGATAGCTGATGGCATTCAGAATAATATTATTTCAGATTCTGTGACTGAAATTTCAGCGACGGCCCATCGTCAAAATTCTGATACAATCTCATTACTCGATTTAGCTCAATTATTTGATAAAGCAACTAATGCTGAATATTACGCTATGAAAGCTAACCAGGATGAAACCCTATGCTGGATTAACTATGGAAGTGAATTTGTAGTTCAGTATAATGACCTTGTGAAAAATAGTAAGGGAAAAATTGGCGAGAAAAAAGCTAAAGGTATAATTTATGATAAAATATTAGAGCATCTCATTATTATCCGTGAGAAAAGGTCCAAGGAAATGGGAATACAACTCCCAGAAATTTTGCGTAAAACCTTATGTAAAAAGACACAAAGAGCCATAAAAACTTATAAACTATTTGAAAAAATAGGCATAGATAAAATTAAATACCTTAAACCAAATATGTGCAATTGAGGTAGGTGAGAAAGAGAAAACTTTACCAGAAACTGAGGTAAGTGCATTTCCTGAGAAGGTATCACTGGAAAAATTATCAGAAACGATTTCGGAGGAATCAACCGATGCAAGTGTATCATCTAATCCAATTCATGACCATGCTTATTTTCGTAATAAGATACTATGGCAATATTCTGATCTATATAAAACATTTATTACTGAAAAATTTGATTACTATGATATTATTGAGGGATCATTATGCCCAGTATGTAAATTATATCATGAAGATGGGAAGAGTGTAAAAGGTAGATATGAAGTTGGAACCTATTTTATTATATGCGAAAGCGTGAAATCGAGATAATAGCATAAAATATAAAGTTATATTGCCTTCGACAAATTCTCCGATTTCAAATTAATTAGACCTAAAGGGTCATTGCTTTGCAATACTACATATATTTTTTTTATTACTATTTCGGGATATGCACAGAGTTTCAGTGCATAAGCATCCTTGTTATATAAGCGTGACAAGACATAATTCATACTCAATTTGAATTTGCGATCATATAAAGAATAACATGGATAAAGCCTTAACTCTTGAATATTTAAACTGGCACGCTAAATTGGTTGATTCACTGAGTCATTTGACAGATAAAATTCGTTTAAGCTTATATAGAGCATATACAGAAGAAACTGGGCTTGATCCCTGGATAATGTCTGAAACTCCTGAACCCCCACAAATCGAAAAGACTAATAATTACCTTTCACAGGATTGTGTTATCAAAATTTTCAAGTTTCCGGAAGAGAAAGATATAATCCATGAAACAGTACATAAACGTTTTCCTTTCTTATCATATACTAATTCGAATGCATGGTACCGAGATGTTTTTAAATATACAGATTCAGAAGCTAAATGTCCTGTATGCAAAGAGGTATATACATGTTTAGGTATATGGGGTGATTGGAGCTGTCTTGATAAAAATGATCACTATTATCTTAATTGTCCTTTTCGCATTGATCAAAAGAAAGTTATAATCGCTATACAGAGCTTACCAGAAATTCAAGTAAGTGTACCAAACAAAATCAGTAACTCACTAATTCATCCAAACAAAACTCGCCTTTATCAATATGCCATCAAACATGAAATGGATCCCGAGAAATCTTTGGTCATTACTGAGGCTGAGAAAAAAAGATGGACCATGGGATGCTTCCGTGGTGACCTGGAGAGAGATATATGCTGTTATCGTGAAGGAATAAAAAGGAATGAAGATACTAGAAAATACCATAAATTTTTAACAGATTGGAAAAGACTGACTGGCGAAGAGTTATTACATCATGGTATACTAAAGAGTGGTTTAAGTACTGCATGGCTCGATGATCTTATGGAAGAATGGGAAAAAACTTATAATCAATTCATACAAATTTTTAACTAGACACAATGCATAAATCAGCAAAGTCAAGGTGCCATTTTCCCGCGATCACATGAGGTTGCTCCCTTGGGGCATGCATAAGCATTAACACAAATAATTATTTAATGATAGATAATGACATATTTCACAAACCCGGTATAGAAATAATTGACTTCGACAAATCATTTTTCCGCGATTACATGAGGGCTCTATGTCACATGCATAAATCACGTGTTTATTTTTGACGATGAAGATGTATAACATTATATGCAATTTATTGCAAAGCAAGCTGAAGACGCCACCATGGTCGCATGGCTCAAAGAGTCTACACTTCACAAACCCAATGTGTTACATTAATGGCAAGAAAAATAATTGATACTTTATTATGATTTTTTATAAATTGTAATACATTATTTTCTAATAACGAAACTCTGATATATGTATGTTACGTGATCTTGATCCAGCGGTCAGGGTCACGTGATCTGTGGCGCAGTCTTTATGATTTCGTCTTTTACATATTTGATTTTTTCTACACTTAGCTTCGAGATAGTATTCGTGGAAAAAGATTTAACTAAACCTATTTTTTCGATACCAATACTATTAAAGAGGAAGTATATTTTTTGAGCTCTTTCTTTTCTTTTATTACGAGTAGTTTCAGTAGTGTCAGGGAGTTGTTTTTCAAGTTCATCATTAACATCCATTTGAGCTTAATGCACGTTTAAAGATTTATCGAAGTGGTACTTGAAACGTTACGAGAGAACTTTTCCAAATGAATAATAAGATTTTATGACTTCTTGACTTGCAATCTCTTTACGAATCTCGGCATTAATAATTTTATTGTATAAGTGAAGCAAATTTTCAGAATTCTCACCCTCTTCTACGCTAATTTCAGATACCTGCGGACTACTATTACTACTTAACTTCTTGATAAGTCGTTTCAGTATCTGGGAATCCTTGTTTTTAACTTCCTTCTTCGCTTTCTTACTGGGGAATTTATCTTGCGTGGTATTCGGCTCTTCAGAGTCAACTTCGATAGGTCTTTTATTAGACTCCTCACCCATATCAGTGGCCTTATCCTTCGAATTATGTGCCTTGGCACTAGCTCCGCTATTATCTTTATTTTCCCTATTATCCGCATCCGTCATTTCTTCATCAATAATTTCTTGAGACTGGATATTAAGTTGGTTTCCCATCTTCCCAACTAATGACGAAGTGCTGAATTCTGAATTGCGTCTAGGCTCCGTTTCGGCTGTGCTAGCTTCGGTAATAGTCTCGACGCTTTTTCCACAGTTGGTAAAGGGGCAACCATTTGATTTTGTAAACAGGAGTTTCTTCTCAATACAGATTCTATGGTATGTTATACGTGTTGCCCAAATCCCAAATCATTTGGGATTTGGGATGCCAAAATCCCAAATTACTAGTATTTGGAATTTGGGATTTGGGATTTGGGATTTTGGCATTTGGGATTTCGGCATTTGAATTTTGAATTTGGGTGGCAGGTATATGGTATATATGTTCGCATCCTAAGACTGTGAATACTTTATTGAGGTCAGAAAAAATCTTTTTATTGCATTCTACACAGTTAGGTAACTCAGTGAATTTCTTATTTTTGATAACATCGTCGTTGAGGTTTTTTAGGATGCTATATGCGAGGTTTTTAAGATTAGTAGTTGGGACTTTTTCCGTTCTCAGCATAATACACAGAACCAAATAAATTTTCGTTGCTCACCTTTCATATACTTATATACCCACTCATATGTCGTCCGAGAAAATATACCCCAACTCGAATTGGCATTACGTCCGAAATGATACAAAGATAAGTAAATTAGTTCATTCTTAGTGAAATTTATGATTAGTGAAAAACATAAAAATTAATCAAAAAATGACGAATGAGGGTATATGTGAGAAATTGAGTCATACAAAAAACATGTGAATCTAACCTGTAAAGTACGTCTAAACACATGTAATAAAAATCAGAATATCGTGATCACGATTTATTATACGATCAATTTATGTGTCGAGGCTACTTTACATACCTTTGTACAATTATATACCTTGTTCTTATTTCGCTTCTTTTTACACGTAGAATAGACTGGACCAAGGTCTTTAGATTCGTGTATCTTTTTTACCAGTATATCTTTTGAGGTGTAAGTGAGAATTTCCACATCATTAGATGTATCGGTTTCAGAATCTGAGGTATTGCTATTATATTTGTTATAATTATATATAGATGAATTTATATTGCGACATCGTTGGATAATATTTTCGAGTTTTATTTGGAATGTCCGCATTTCGATTTCCAAAACTGTGATGGATGCTTGGAGATATTTAAGCTTATTTTTTGCTTTTCGTTCTGCATGTTTATTAAATTTTTCTGTCATTTTGGATATTATACTAGAAATATTTTTTATCCCGATTTATGTAATTATTACATTTGTCTCCAGATCTAACCGAAAAAAATAAATATGACAGATGGGTAGGCCGACTTGCTTTCTTACATTAAGTAAATATAATTTATTAAACGAAAAATTAGTCACATGTCATCACTCCCTCGAGGCTCAATATTTGTGGAAGCTTAAAAACATCAGAATTTATAAAAGTATGGAATAATGATACCGGATTTTTTATATTAGGTAAAATATATACAAACCGTTGAAGTGCCTTTTCTCTCCACTGTCTAATCACCTTCTCATCCCAATACTCCAAGATTATATCAAAAAGTTCTTTCCAGTCGTACCACTGAGGAGTGAATTCGGGGTTATCAATATCCCATCCATATTCTTTGATAAATTCATCATACTCTTTCTTATATTCGAGATCGTAGTTATCTAGCATTGAGTCAAAATATTTATTACTCATGAAAAAAAAATCTTAATAATTGATCTAATTTTACGAAGTCTTGCTCACTTGGTGAAATAACTAGGTTCATCTGATTACTGGTATTGAGGTTTAAGCTTAACCGTCATTGCTCTTTTTTCAGCTTCTTCAGGAGATATTCCAGATGAAACCATATGCTTATATGCAAAAATTCTCCAATGCCCGTATGGGAGGGTTCGTATACCATCTAATAGAATCCAATGCTTATTATCATATGAATTTAACCCAATTTTATTTACTCGTTCTAAATATATTTCATGATCATAACTGCGGAGACCATACATATCATGTCAGGTTAGCTTCTTAGTCTTGAGACATTCTAAAAATTTATCATGCCGAAGCTCTCTCTTAACTACACATTTCTTAACACCTTTAGCCTTTTGCATTCCATGCTTTTTCTGCTAGTCTTTCATACCTTGAGATTTTCTAGATTCTTCTTCCTCTAACTCTTTTTCGAAATCTGTATCTGTTTTAGGAGTTTTTGGATCATACCCAGCTAGAAGGACTGAATACATTTTCAGTTTCAAACATACTGACTTACCTATTGGTCCTCCCTTTGTTTCATCCTTCATTAAGAATAAATCTCCTGAATAGTCGAAATCGAAAATATCTGGTCTTTCAGCTTGATCTTTATAAATATCCTCTGTCTCGATCCACATAATAAGAGAATCTGTATCTGTATAAAGTAAATGGGTCTTGTCTCCACAGCGAGGTTTTATATAACCATACCAGAAATTATACATCATAGCTTTGCTAATATCAAGAATCACTTGCTCCACAAATAATGGTTTATTAAGAGTTACTGTACCTTTTAACATATGAACTGCTGTAATTCCCCCCTCATATGCTTTAAACCCTACAAATAATGGAGATCTAACGAGACGAGTTAGTTTTTTATCTTGATCAAATCTAAGTAATTCTACTCTCATATGTTTACAAACATTTTCCATCTGTTTTCCGAATACTGCATTATTCTTAAGTTTATAATACATGACCCCAAACTCCTCTTTGTTAGCTTTGGCAATTTTTCTTTTACGAATATTTTTCTCGATATAGTTTTTCATCCATGGAGATTGACGAAATTTTAAAACACTGTGAATTTTTGTAATTTTCATTCCGAATTTCATATATATCTGTAGAGCTCTATAATGAACTATATAATTTTTCTTGGGAAAGAGGGTTTGTAATAGCTTTCTCCTGTTACATATTTTCCACCTCTAACTGCTTTGTCATGTACTAATCTTTCATTATATAAACTAAGCCAATTTTCTGGTACGATTTGCTTTTCTGGTGCTAAAGGATAATCTGCAAAGAAATCTTGCATGTTTATAGGTGCTTCTAAATCAACTTCAAGCATATATCCTATTTCAGCATCAGGTTCAATACTTTGAATATCGGAAATTTCTTCTGGACCTACCTTTCCTAAAATCTCTGTAGGCATGTATTGCGTCATTGCGCCTGAATATAAAGCATTCATATCTTCATACATGATCCAGAATTTTAGTTTGTTAGGATCATAATCGGGACATTTTTCATTATTAGCTTTGGCATATCGTTGACTTACCATTGTCATACCTCCACGAATCCCATTTTCCACCATCAAATACTCATCCATATCCGTCATTAGCTTAATCTCAACTTCGCTACTTTTGTATAATAAATCATTAAACATTCCTGGTGCTGAAACATAATGTGAGGGGTCTAATCCATCATCCTGTAAACACATAATAGTATATATACCTGCCACCCAAATTCAAAATCCAAATGCCAAAATCCCAAATGCCAAAATCCCAAATCCCAAATCCCAAATCCCAAATCCCAAATCCCAAATTATGATTAGTATTTTTTGCCGAAATCCCAAATCCCAAATCCCAAATACTAGTAATTTGGGATTTGGGCAACACGTATAATAGTATAGTTCATAAAAACATCTGCAAGTAAAAGTACATCTGTTTCAAGATAAAGGTCATGGTATTCTCCAAAATTTGTCATTTCGAATTCTTGCCATACTTTTTGCGCATGTTCATAATCTCCTTTACTAATATTTTGCTGCTTGAGCTGAGAATAGAAATCTTTTCTGCGTGGAAGCTTTGTTCTATCGAATTTATCCCATGTATTTGTTCAGTCATATGGAAAAATACCTTTTTGTTGTATTATTAACTTGATTTTATTTATTGAATATCCTTTATTGGTGAAGTATTTTACTGTTAGAGGAAATTTTTCAAAATTTTTGCCTAAATTTTCAACAAGTTTATTAAGACCCATTGACATATGTTGAAAACTATCTAAAAATCGGAATTGACCAACATCCATAGCTTTGTACTTACCTATATTTTCTGGAATACATTTTAGCTTATCAGCTGTAAATCTGCTTACAACCTCTATGAGCAAATGAGAGTCATAACCTCGAAAATTATGACAGATAAGTGGTATCTTCGTTTTGAATTCATCCATTTGTAATTTTTTATTACAATCACTATGAGCGGGTCCTCTATATTTACCATTAATATGGTCATGATCTCGAACTTTTAATAATCCTTTATCTAAAATCTGCCCATCACAGTACATACAGTTGTAAGTTTCTTTGAATATTCCATTATCTGGAATACTTGGTTACTGATACCATTTCGGACCAATTATTTCGTTTTTTCGTTTACATCTGCAATGTGCTGCTCCTTTATAATCTCCGGTATTTGGACAACAAACCATTTCCTTAAGTAAAGTTTGATTCGGAAATTCTTTCTTACATATCCAACAATTTTTTGATGTTCGATATTTTCTATAATCCCCAGGTTCCATAATCATATCAGCAGGTTCAGATAAATTTGCTCAGATTTCTTCTAACTCTTCTTCAAGTTTGTCAACGAATCTTTGCAATGCATCTGGCCCTCTATATAAATCTTGACTTGTGATCTCATAGTTATAGGAACTATCCATACGAATAACTGCATATGAATATCCACATGGAATATGCTTTTGAATTCTTTCAGTCCGAGTTAATTGAGCATCTTCTTCTGGAGTTAGTTTTGTAATTAAACATTCAAGATCCCAAATTATTCGATATGGATTTGGTTGCATGCATTTATGATTATTAAAAGCTTTAATACTTTTTTCCAATGTGGGAACTTTTGGTAATTGCGGAGCGTTATTTACTTCTAAACATTTTTTGGGATTTGATATATACTCATTAAACACCTTTTCTGTAGAATATACATGAAGACAGAAACGGCATAGATATTTTCTTTCTTTGTGTTTACTATGATTGTAAACTAGTCTACGGAGATCCTTGATTATACAATAATATGTTCGAGAATTTTCTAAGTCATCGGCTTCTGAAATAACTAAAAGATTTATCTGCTTAAATTCTGCACTTCTTCTTTCAGAAAGATACTGGAATTCGAGACACTTATTTTGATTAGACCATTCATATACACAAAGACTGATCTCGAGGTTATTTTCTTCGAATTTTTGGTAAACTGGTGTAGAGACTGGTACTGGAATTGGAATATCTTCCATATTAAGCTCATTTATATATTTTGTATATATTCGATGTGAGTTTCTTTCTGGATGAACTTTAACCGGATGCAATGCTCCTAAGACACACCATCCAAAACACCAGTCATCATCATTTTTAATGTTTATAATACCATTATTACGTTTTGGTATTGTTTCTGGTAAAGGCATATGACCTGTTGGACCAATTAAAATATAATCAGCTATCTCAATACTAAATTCTTCGATATGTTCTGGATATGCATCAGACATGTTATGGTATATGCGTTTTGTTTTTATATAGACTGTGTAAACTTTTGTTTAATTAAAAATTTTTATTCGTTGTATACTGTGTAAACTTTTTTTCAATTTAAAAATATTATTCGTTATATATAAAATGTTGGCAAAGTATACTTGCGATTATCTTCATAACTCTGGAAAAGTTTGTAACAAAGCTTGTACTCGGCCTGAAGGATTTCGGCATCATTATTTAGCTAAGAAGCGATATCCTTGTACTGATTGTGGTAAGCCTACTGGATCTACTTGTGGGCAATGTAAATTGCATAAGAGAGGGTACTATATGATTCAGTATGTTAATAGGTTACAAGAAAAAGCCCATGAAAATAGTGTATCAGTAAGTTAATCTAGAGTGTTAAATACCGAGGACAATTTTTGATATCAAGAGGTTAGATTTATTTTATATATCGGGAACTTAATCTAGAGTACTAAATACCAAGGACAATTTTGATATCAAGAGGTTAGATTTAAGGTTAGATTTATTTTGTATATCTGGAACTTAATCTAAAGCGTTAAAACCAAGGACAATTTTCGGTACCAAGAGGTTAGATTTAAGATTAGATTTATTTTGTATATCAGGAACTTGGTCTAAAGCGTTAAAACCAAGGACAATTTTCGGTATCAGAGGTTAGATTTAAGGTTAGATTTATTTTTGCTATCCTAAAAAGCTTTCTAAGGAAAATTAAAGCTTATATATAGCATGAGGAAATTAGAACAAAATATATCGATATTGCGTATGGTTTAAACATAAATCTAACCTCTGTGAGGTTAGACTTATGATATCAAAAGGTTAGATTTAGTAAAATAATATGCAATTTAGCTTGTTACACGTCAGAGAAGGGATCAGGAATATTCATTACATTCATATTCTCCACCGCTTCTCTTTGTTTTTTTAACAGCAAGCGGAGTAGCATAAAATAAATCTAATCAAATTATATCAAAAATGTGATCTAAAATATAAATTACACCTCATTCGAGTGTGGTCAAAAACGTTTTTTACAAGTCTAACCTAAATCAGTTACGGATTTGAGCTTCTAGCAGGCGTGGCACACTATTGCCAATATTGGCAGTTTTGTCCCAAAACCCCCAAATTTCCAATGTGTTATTAAAAAATATATCAGGAATTGATAAAAAATCATAAATCATTTTTGCAAGATTAGAATATTTAGTCTCATGAAGCTATATGAATTAATTGCTGATCCACATGTGATCGATAGAAATTTTGATTTTTTATTAATAAATTATGGCGTTATGTTTACTAGTAAAAAAAATTCTATTTGAAATCTCTTTTTCCTCATGTCAAAAAATCATATAACTTCAGGAAAACTTGTTATAACTGGAAATATTATTTTGAAACTTCATTATGGTCCATATTTACGTGATTGGTGGATTTTTTCTAAAGAAAAAACTCAAGAAACTCAAGAAAAACACATATATCCTATTCCTTTACGTTTAGGACTTGAAATTATGATTCAACTTAATAATACTCCATTTATTATTCGTATAGTTCAACATGTTCATAGCCCTTTACAACCTGGTTATATTTGTGAAGGAGGAGAACAAAGTAGTGGTATTACTACAAGTGCCTCCATGGCAATTACTTCTGTTTATCAATCTGTCCTCGGTAGCAAAACAAAATTTGCAGGACCCTCCTATTTAGGTTTAGATCAACTTGAAATAGCTCAAAAATTATTAGAAGGAATTATATTTCATCCTTTTATTGTAGAGTTAGAAAACATAACTGTTTTTATTAGTTGTCTTGGCAAAATTACAAAATCAAATAAAAAAACTAGTCATAATTATGCAGCATCATTATTTTATAAATACAAAAGAATACAGTCTGTTTTTTATCAACATATTGACAAAGATTTATTTTTAATAACAATTTATCAAAACAGTCAAATTGTTATTGAATATAAAGATATTTCACCTAATACTGTTTGGAATAAAACTCATATTTTGAAATCTATTTCAGGTGAAACTTTATTTGTTATAAATCATCCCATAACTTTAAATAGAATAAATTAAATATTTTTACATCAACCACCTATTTTTAAATATACACTTGCAGATTGGAATAACGAAACAATAATGAAACAATTATACGAGTTACATTTAAAAAGAACAATTAGAAGATCAGTTCAATGGTATCAAGTGTTTCAAAATTGGATACAACAAAAAAGCAATATAATTGAATTGCATACTCATCTTGGTAAAGTATATGATTTGAATTATGAAATTTCTAAAAAAGAATTATGATTGTGGCGTGCAATGTTTCATACGTTGGGATGTACAAATATTACTCCATATAAAAATGACATTTCTTATGATGAATTTTGGACAAATGCAACTAATTCTAAAAAAGATTGTGAAATAATTACCAATTTATATATGAAAGGATTTTTAAAAATATCTTTACAAGACTCATTAAACAAATCAGTTGATACCTCTTGTGTATTTTGGAATTGCTTTCGTAATAGTTATGATGCAAATCCTAAAGGAATAAATGGAAAGATACGTATGTTATCAATAATTGGAGAAGATTTTACATATAAAGAAATAATTGAAAAATTAGAGATAATACGAAGTTTCATATTTTTCACATAAACATATATAACAATTATATTACTTACATATTTATATTGTATTATTCAGGTTTCGCCTAATACAATTAACACAGCACGAAAATTTTTCCGAATTAATGGACCTGGATGTCCTATATTAGAAAAACCAATTATTACTCGTTCAAAAATGTCAGAAGTTAAAGTAAAAGAATTTGAACTCTTTTTTACAAACAAAGCAAATGTAAATATGAGTTCTTATAAAGTAGATGCAAAAACTCAATTACCAGTACTTTATCTAAAAGATCAAAAAAGTATCCTTTGGGAAAAATTTTCTGCTACTTATCCTAATGGAATGAAGCGTACTTCTTTTATG